AATAAATAAGAATTGGAAAAATTTATGTTAGTAGCTTACACACTGCGCGAAATATTCTGATAATCGTCAAATTTGGACCGATTTCACCCTATTGTTCCTATGGGAGCTATATGATATAGACGTCCGATCGGCACGCGCTTTCACCTTGATCAATGTATGCATAAAAAAATACGATTTGGAAAGATTCATGTCAATAGCTTGTATACTGCGCGAAATATCCTAAAAATCATTAAATTTTAACCGATTTTACCCTTTTGTTCCTATGGGAGCTATAGGATATAGACATCCGATCGGGCCGGTTTTCAAACTTGATCTGCGTACACTTGTTTTAGGACGACTGTGAAAGTTTCAGATCGCTACGGACGGACGGACAGACGGACATGGCTATATCGACTCCCCTATTGATCCTGATCAAGAATATATATACTTTATAGGGTCGGAAACGTCTCCTTCACAGCGTTCCAAACTTCTGACCAAATTTATAATACGCTCTGCAAGGGTATAAAAAGATTAGCTATACGTAATTAATTTCATTTTTACATAGCGGATGTAGTATGTACTTGACTGATTGGCAGCAACTTTTACCCTAAGCAAGGTATACATAAATAAATTAGCTAAATTGCATAGTTTCATGCCAATAGCCCTTATACTGCAAAATTGTCATATACAAATAGAAAACAAGAGAGAACGCTATAGTCGGGTGCCCCGACTATCAGATACCCGTTACTCAGGTAAAGGGAGTGCGAGGGAGATGGAGATAGAAACTTTGATCACGCATAACTTTTTAACGAATGGTCCGATTTGAAAAATTTCTTCAACATTTCGATAGGTATTGATAAACACAATAAAACTGCATTTTTACTTTTCCGAAATATTTAAATTTTTAAAATCGTATATAAGCGATTGTGGGCGTTAAAGGGGGCGTGGCACCTTTTTGAAATAAACTTGCGCTGCGTAGGAACTCCTAGAATCTGCATGCAAAATTCCAATCTTCTAGCTTTTATAGTTTCCGAGATCTCAGCGTTCATACGGACGGACAAAGAGACGGACAGACGGACGGACAGACAGACGGACAGACAGACGGACAGACAGACGGACAGACGGACATGGCTATATCGACTCGGCTAGTGACCCTGATCAAGAATATATATACTTTATAGGGTCGGAAACGCTTCCTTCTAGCTGTTACATACTTTTGCACGAATACAATATACCCTTTTACTCTACGAGTAACGGGTATAAAAAGGGATACTTTCGCAGCCTTTAAAAATTTTTCCTATCTCCTTTAAGATATAGACTACCGAGCGGCAAGCGCTTTTGCCCTAATTAAGATATGCGTAAATAAATAAGAATTGGAAAAATTTATGTTAGTAGCTTACACACTGCGCGAAATATTCTGATAATCGTCAAATTTGGACCGATTTCACCCTATTGTTCCTATGGGAGCTATATGATATAGACGTCCGATCGGCACGCGCTTTCACCTTGATCAATGTATGCATAAAAAAATACGATTTGGAAAGATTCATGTCAATAGCTTTTATACTGCGCGAAATATCCTAAAAATCATTAAATTTTAACCGATTTTACCCTATGGGAGCTATAGAATATAGACGTCCGATCGTCACGCGCTTTTACCCTGATCAAGGTACGCATAAAAAATTAAGATTTGGAAAGATATTTGTCAATAGCTTTTATACTGCGCGAAATATCTTCCAATCTTGCAAGTTATATCCGATTGTTCCTATGGGAGCTATAGGATATAGACATCCGATCGGGACGGTTTTCAAACTTGATCTGCGTACACTTGTTTTAGGATGACTGTGAAAGTTTCAGATCGCTAGCTTTTAAACTGAGCTCGCAAACGGTATTGAAACAGACGGACAGACGGACATGGCTATATCGACTCCCCTATTGATCCTGATCAAGAATATATATACTTTATAGGGTCGGAAACGTCTCCTTCACTGCGTTACAAACTTCTGACCAAAATTTTAATACCCTCTGCAAGGGTATAAAAATTAAGTTTTCTGTAATTATACATAAAAATAATCAAAATAAAATCTAAAGCGCTAGACAGACCTTAGCTTAGTTAGCGATTGTGGGCGTTAGAGTGGGCGTGGCATGGAAAACAAACTTGATCTGCGTACACTGGTTTTAGGACGACTGAGAAAGTTACAGATCGCTAGCTTTTAAACTGAGCTCGCAAACGGTATTGAAACAGACGGACAGACGGACGGACGGACGGACGGACGGACGGACGGACGGACATTACAATGGTCTTTGACTTTCAAAGGGAACGGTCGTGTTTTTTTTCTGCGCTTCGAATTTTGCACTTTGTTTTCGTTTATTCCCATCGGTGGGTTTTATCAAAACAATTTTAATTCTCGTCCGGTTTATTTTAACATAAATTTAAACTCCGTTCGCTTTGCGAGTGCACTTTGTAATTAATACTAATAAATTGTTTTAGTTTCTTATCTGTGTTTTCTTTTCTTATATCCCCGCCGTTTCTCTTATTTACGCTCCCGCTCTCTTGCTCTCTTTGCTTTGAAAGTTCTAAGCGTGCAGTTTCTGCGCTCTTGCGGTACTTATAACTGCTCGCTTATAAATTTCAATTCGTTTTCTTGGTACAGTGGTAAATAAATAAAATGAATAATAAAAATTTAGTCTGTTTCTGGAAAAAATGCAGCCTCGTAATCAGGGCTGACCAGTCTAATATGACTTGCTGGCTGTGTGAAAATATGGTGCACACCAAGTGCGCCGGTTTTACTGGCCGGACAAGTGATGACCTTTCAAAGCGGCCCAATTTGCAGTTTTGTTGTGACGCTTGTGACGAGGTTGCGAACGAGATGAAATCGTTCATGCGCCAAACTAAAGGCGGCCTGATCGGGCTGATTAGCTGTTTCGGAGTGGCTAGAGATAGTTTTCGCCGAGCTGATGATCTCCTCTCTGCGCTGGACTCGCAGTTTAATAGTCGTAAGCTATTAGAAGAGTCCCCTAAGCGCAAAAAGGCCGCTGGTGGTAAGCAGCAAAAGGGGAACACCCCGCAACCAAAATCAAAAGAACAACAGAGCATTCCGGCGGATCAACAGCTGATTTCAGCAAACCCTCAAATGTTGCTAAGATCAGCAGCTAAAAAGATTCGGTATCCGAACAATCCGTTACAGAATTCATGCAACCAGGGACTTCTAAGAATTCCGATTTGTCCGTTGTGGTTTCACAATTAGTGGATCCACCTATATCTCAGAATGTAGCATCTCCACCACAAAGGACTACTGAGTCCGGACAACCGGCTTTTGTTGGTTGGTTTTGCAGAAACAATGTCTGCTCCACCAAAATCCCTTTTAGTGGTTCCACTAAAAAATCAAATTTTCGTTTCTCGGCTTTCCCCTGATCAAACATCTTCTGATGTATTGTCTTATATACAAGACAAAACTAAAGCCGATTGTAATAGTGTAAAGGTGGAAAAGTTTAAGTTTTCTTATGCTAGAGACATTTCATCTTTCAAGATAACTGTCCCTAACGAGCTTTTTGAAGCCATATGTGTTTTGTATTAAATCCTGAAGGTGTGTTTCTGTCCAGAGTAGCACCACTCACGCAACCTGAAGATCCATATCACCCAACAATCGAACTTTCATTTGATACGGGTAGAGTTATAGAAGAAAAATCAGAAAAATCCAAACGAATGCATTGTTTTCGCAAGGCAGACTTTCTGAGGCTAAATAATTTTATTTCTGGCTTTAATTGGTCTGATCTTTACTTATGCATTAATATGTCCGATGCAGTTAATGTTTTTTACACTGCAATAAACTCATTTTTTAATTCCTGTGTTCCGTGGTACTATCCGTCAACTTCCAATAAATCTCCTTGGCTTAGCAAAGAGTTGACACACTTAAGAAATGTAAAGTCCAGACTTTTTAGGAAATATAAAAATACCGGTTCTCAATCTGTTTTTACTAGATATTTAAGTGCTCGGTCAAGATTTACCGTGCTTAATGCTCAGTGTTATAATAGTTACTTAAACCGGTCCAGTTCTCTCAGGACCCGAAACAGTCTTATAATTTTGTTAACACCAAGCGTAAATCTAATTCTTTTTCTTTCTGTCGTTCGAAAACAAGACGGCAACCACAGATCAAGCAGTAGCCGATTTATTTGCCCAATTTTTTCAAACGACTTACTCTACTTTAGATTATTCATCACAGCCTTATTCTTACACCATGTCCAAGTCAAACCTCATATTCTGTCCCACTTTAACAGAAAGCTCTCTTCTTTTGGATCTTCTTCGTATTAAGCCTGTTTATTCGCCAGGGCCCGATGGTATTCCTGGGTGCGTCCTTAGGTATTGCGCTAAGGCCCTGTGCAAACCTCTTCACAAGTTGTTTACCTTATCTCTAGAAACCTCCCAATTCCCAAATATTTGGAAGGAATCATTTGTTATTCCTCTTTTCAAAAAGGTAACAAGTTAGAGGCCAGTAACTACAGAGGTATTTCTAAGTTGCCAGCTATTCCTAAGCTTTTTGAAAAAATTATTACTCCTCATTAGCAGCACCTTTGCAGATCAATCATTTCTCCGTGTCAACACGGATTTATAAAACGTAGATCCACAATCACAAACCTTCTAGAGCTCACTTCATTTGTGATAAAAGGCTTCAATAGTAGTTTTCAAACAGACGTCATTTACACTGACTTTAGTAAAGCATTTGACTCTGTAAATCACTTACTTCTCATTCAAAAACTTGACCTTTTAGGTTTTCCAGTTGATTTGCTTAAATGGATTTCAAGTTATCTAAATGGCAGGTCACAAAGGGTACTTTTTAAAAATTCAATTTCTGAAATTCTCCGTGTTACCTCCGGTGTCCCACAAGGGAGCCATCTGGGTTAGAGGTGCAGAAACATCGATGTTCGTGCCCATCGATGTTTTCGATGTTTTAAAAAAAACATCGAGTGAAACATCGATGTTTAAAAAAAAAAAAAAAAAAAAGAAAAGGCAAAACAGTACAAACGATAACAATGAGGTTTATTTGAGATCAATTAAAGTGTCTATTTTTGTTGAGGAAAAGAAGTTTATCAACAACTTCAGGTTTAAGCCTTGTTCTGCGATCAGATACAGTTTGTTCAGCTTTGCTGAACACCCTTTCAGACTCATAGGACGAGGCTCGTACACAGAAATATTTTTTTGAAACCAATTTTAATTCATTGTCATCAGTCATCTGTAAAAAGTATTTCTTATTTAACATGTTTGTCATAATTATTTGAAAATCATACCTCCCAATACTTTATGGGGTCGCAAGTGTCAGGAGTGTTTTCCTTTTGGCATCGTCTCGGGTGGACACACCACCAACACCACCAACTAGAAATCCTAAATATAATCAACAATTTTGTAAGTTGTAAGAAAAAAAATTAAGAAATTAATTTACTTACAATTTGTTCGCACCGAGCGCAGAGTTGTTAGTGAAAACATCGATGGTGGTCACGAACCATCGATGGTTTCGATGTTTTGAAAACATCGATGTTATGTTATGTTTCTGCACCTCTAATCTGGGTCCGTTACTTTTTACATTATTTATTAACAATCTTCCCTCAATTATAAGTCATTCTCGCGTACTTATGTACGCAGATGATGTTAAGTTGTGCCTGCAGTAAAGGACATTTCCTGCCATTTAAACTTGCAATCCGATCTAGATAATTTTCAAAACTGGTGCCGAGATAATTTACTAAATTTAAACGGTTCCAAGTGCAAGCTGATGACTTTTTTCTGGCCAATCCGATATACGCGACTTACACGTTAAGAGGCAGCTCTTTGGATAGAATAACTCTTGTAAACGATCTTGGCGTTCTCTCGGACCCTAAACTAAAATTTTATAATCACATTTCGTCCATGGTAAATAAAGCCAGAGGAGTGCTTGGATTTTTGAAAAGGTAGTCAAAAGAATTCGATGATCCTTATTTGACTAAAACTTTATTTATTTCGCTAGTCCGTCCGATTCTGGAGTATGGGTCTCCCGTCTGGAGTCCACAATACGGAATACATATTGGTCGTATTGAATCTGTACAAAAAACTTCCTTCTTTTTGCTTTACGGCACCTAAACTGGGTTGCAAATCTTATCTTACCTTCTTATTCTAGTAGACGTCTTTTGATTAATTTACCATCCCTAGCCAACCGTAGAACGATGCTTGGTACTATCTTTATTTATGTTCATGTCGAACAAGAAGTTAGCTGGTTCGAAGATAGCTGGTTCGGCATCACTGGCAACCGAATCGGTGGCCTCTAGACTAAGCTTACGTTGTATTACAAGTCATTACGAAATAAAAGGTGAAACGGATCACAAGTGAAAACGAAGCTCGTCACAACCCCGCATTTTTTATATCTTTCTTTGGGAGAAACTTTGGAAGTGTTCTTGGCACGGACCCGCCCCAACATTTGGTCCTTCGAGCCGGATTTATTTTCATCGTTCTCCGCAAGCTAAGTAATTCCAAAGTTTTTTTCCAGTAGCAATATATATATATATATATTTTTCTTTTCCACACAACCCCGCTCCACCGTTAAGGTCTCCATTTTGTGGGAAAATATATATATTTATATATATCTACTTTGATCTCCAGTGGCACATTCCGTGCAACTCCACAAAATTAAAACACAAAAATTAAATTAAATCACACATATCCATACACATACACACAGCTTAGAAATTCCAAAGTTTTTTTTCCAGTAGCAATATATATATATATATATTTTCTTTTCCACACAACCCCGCTCCACCGTTAAGGTCTCCATTTTGTGGGAAAATATATATATTTATATATATCTACTTTGATCTCCAGTGGCACATTCCGTGCAACTCCACAAAATTAAAACACAAAAATTAAATTAAATCACACATATCCATACACATACACACAGCTTAGAAATTCCAAAGTTTTTTTTCCACTAGCAATATCTATATACATATATATATATTTTCCACACAATCCCGCTCCATCGTTAAGGTCTCTATTTTGTGGGGAAATATTTATATTTATATATCTCCTTTGCAACTCCAAACCAATCAAAACACAAAAAATTAAATAAAATCACACATATCCATATCCATACGCATACACATATACACACAGAATCCATACACCGTGCAAAGGTCAATTTTTCCACATTTGTCTTTAAACTAAAACACTTTGCAAACTAAAACACTTGTACCAGCATTATTTTTTTTAAACTAAACACACAAAACAATAACAAACCCGGCTTACGAACACTGCTGCAGAACCACCTACTTGGCATATTTGTCGGACCGGCGAATCGAAGGGCGGCGTTTTTTATTGGGTTCCTGATCTCCGCGGCATCCCGAATAAAAACCACAACCCAATAATTATCTAGCTGACATTTCAGTAGTTTTAATTATTAGGTGTTTGTTTTTTCTATTATTTGCATTGCTTATTGGTGTGTGTGCCGTCACACAGGGTGTTCGGGGCATTCCGTACTGCAACGCATCGTATAATAGGCCGTTCACACTGCATTGCATTTGGGACTTAGCAATAAATTCGAGTAATTTTCCAGAATTAGAAATAAATAAATAAAAATAATAAATTTCTTCCAAAAATAAACTAAGTCATCCAACAGCGATCCGATTCCACGAGTTCCGCATCCATTCCTTCTGGTGCAGTCATATGTAGCAATAAATTGGATTAACTTTCCAAAATTAGAAATAAATAAATAAAAATAATAAATTTCTTCCAAAAATAAACTAAGTCATCCAACAGCGATCCAATTCCACGAGTTCCGCATCCATTCCTTCTGGTGCAGTCATATATAGCAATAAATTCGATTAACTTTCCAAAATTAGAAATAAAAAATAAATAAATAAAAATAATAAATTTCTTCCAAAAATAAACTAAGTCATCCAACAGCGATCCGATTCCACGAGTTCCGCATCCATTCCTTCAGGTGCAGTCATATGTAGCAATAAATTGGATTAACTTTCCAAAATTAAAAATAAATAAATAAATAATAATAAATTTCATCCAAAAATAAGTAAATCATACAACAGCGATCCGATTCCACGCGATCCGCATCCATTCCTTCTGGTGCAGTCATATATTCTCCAAGACATACACCCATTTCACATTCCATCCAAATTATATTGTGCCCACTTACATTTTTGTGTTATATTGATCCGTGGTATGGTTCTCTGACCAGCTTCCAAATCGTTAAGCCGAGACGTCCCTATTCTTGTCCCGTCAGTGTAAGTTCAGGCTCCCACTCGAGCCTACTATGCCGATTGGTGAAGGTGAGGAACTTAAAGTTCAGTTAACCGTCCCATCAGTCAGAACACCCAGCCGGGCAAGAGCTAAAAGCGAGTCGTCAGTACCCACCAAAAAGGCAGGACCTAGCAAAAGCTTAACTCCATCCATAAGGATCAGCCGTACTTCCAGGAAAACAAGCGAAAAGTCCTTAACCCCTTCAAAACCTGTGAGAACAACTGCGTCACAGTCAGTTTTGTCCCTACAAGTCACGAGATCAACTGCGAAAATGGCTGCAGAAGCGCTGAAGCAAAGGCTGCCTTGACAAAGTTTGTGGCTGTGACCGATAGGGTCAGTCAGTTCGAAGCCAGGGTCAATACCCCAACAGACCCACCTCCGTCTGTGCACACTAACAAGGTCAGACTTCATCAGATACAAGCTCTTTGGGACAAGGTAGAGAAAGAGTACGAGACGTGCTCTGAGGTTCTTTCCTTAGTAGATAGTACAGACACGATGGAAGTCATGCAAGCCAAGTATGACTACTGCTACTCTGTTTTTGAAAGATGCGCTGCAACACTAAACGAAACGATTGAAAGAGCTAGCGTTCAACCGATTCATGAACCGCCCACACCGGTGCCTCTGCCTAGTGGATGCCGCGTCCCTCCAATAGACTGTGAAATTTTCAGTGGCGACTATGTTCATTGGCCGACGTTTCGAGACCTTTTTTCCGCCATCTATGTCCAAAATCCGAGGCTTTCAGGCGTTGAAAAGTTGTTCCACCTTAACTCGAAAACGAGTGGAGAAGCAAAGTCTATTGTGGCATTATCACCATTGACTAACGAAGGTTTTGCGTCCGCATGGGAAAATCTGCAGACTCGTTTCGAAAACAAGCGACTGCTCGTCAACAGCCAGCTAAAGATCCTGTTTAGTCTCCCCACTGTTTCCCAAGAGTGTGGCAATTCCCTTAAGCACCTGGAGAGCACTGTCCAAGGTTGTTTGACAGCCCTGAAAATAGCAAAGGTAGACATATCAAACTGGGACTGTCTTCTCGTCTTCCTGTGCTCCTCAAAGCTGCCGAAGCTGACGTTGGCTTTGTGGGAACAGTCCCTCCTCAACCCATCCGAGATTCCAGGGTGGGAAGAATTCAAAACCTTCTTACAAGGTCGTCATCGAACCCTGGAGGCAATTGAAGAATTTAAACCTACTTCGACCACTCAATCCAGAGCCCCACGTCCTGAAGGTGGGCCGCGGATTATCCATAATTTTGAAAATAGGGTCACCGTAAATCCACAGTCGTGTAAACTTTGTCCAAGGGAGAACCATCCGATCCGTCTGTGTCCCCATTTTTTGAATATGTCGGTTGCCGTCAGGGAACAGTGTATTAAACAACATAAACTCTGTCTGAACTGTTTTGCAAGAACCCACATGTTGAGAGACTGCACGAGTACGCACAATTGCTACACGTGCAAAGGTCGCCACAATACTCTCCTCCATCGCGGCGGCCCTCCACAACTCCAGTCAGCATCCGAACCTGACCTCCAGCCAGAAATACAGTCCACTCCGTCGAACGTCCAAACGTACCTCGCCGTGAACACGCAAGGGGTCCTCCTGAGTACCGCGCTCATAGAAATCTGCCACTTGGGCATTAGGTACTCAGCACGTGCCTTAATTGACTCCGGATCCGAGGCGACCTTTATTTCAGAACGGTTATTTAACCTAATTAAGTTCCCCTACGAATCCATACAAGCTCAAGTTTCGGGAGTAAACCAAACTGTTGCTGCTCAACCACGTAAGCGCTGCCAATTCCATATAGGCTCCCCCATTAAGCCACAAATCCAAATCGAAGCGTCTGCATATGTGCTACCACATTTAGCCGGAAATCTTCCATCCTATACGATACCCGAAGGGTCGTTGAGGGACCTCCCTCCCATCCAATTAGCAGATCCGAATTTCTACCAGAGTTCGCAAATTGACGTGCTCATAGGCGCCGATATCCTTCCGTCGATCATTTTAGGCGGCTTCCACTCAAATGTTTGCGGAACACTCCTTGGCCAAGAGACCATATTCGGGTGGATTCTTTGCGGCCCAATCGCGGAGAATCCCACTAACAGAATATCTTCCTTCTCAGCACGGTTGTCTGTCACCGAATCTCAACTAGACGGTATCCTCACCAAGTTCTGGGAGGTGGAGGATGTTCCAGTGAAGCCGGGTAAGGAATCCAGCTCGGTGTGTGAAAATAATTTCCAGCAAACCACCACAAGGGATAAAGAAGGAAGGTATGTTGTTTCTCTGCCCTTTAAAGAACCTAACAAAATAAACCTGGGGCATTCACGGTCCATCGCACTGGCGCAATTTCTTAGAAATGAAGTACGGCTGAGTAAAAACGCTCTTTTGAGAAAGCAGTATAACTCAGTTATTCAGGAATATTTAGATTTAGGTCATATGCACCTAGTCTCTCCAAATGACGACTCCAGCAATTTTTACTTGCCGCACCACGCGGTTTTCAAGCCAGACAGTACGACCACAAAGGTTCGCGTGGTGTTTAACGCCTCCAATAAATCGTCAAACGGGTACAGCCTAAATGATATCCTTCATACAGGTCCGGTACTGCAATCTGATTTAACCACCCAGATCCTCAAATGGCGTTTCTTTAAATACGTCTTCAATGCTGACATCACTAAGATGTATCGGCAGATTCTCGTCCATTCCGATCATACACGTTTCCAAAGAATCCTGTTCCGCGATAAAGAGGGGAAACTCTGTGATTATGAGCTCAACACTGTCACTTTCGGCGTTAACTGTGCCCCTTTTTTGGCCATACGCGTGCTTAAACAACTGGCTCATGATGTACGTGACCAATATCCTTTGGCAAGTGACATAATTTCTAGTTTTATGTATGTCGATGATGTTTTAGCCGGCACCCACACGCAGCAGTCCGCTATTTCAGCCATCAAAGAGCTCCGCGGTGCCCTAGAGAGTGCGGGCTTTCCACTGCGCAAGTGGACCTCAAACGAGAAGAAACTTTTACAGGGCATTCCAAAGGAACACTTGATTAGGGCCGACTTTCTGGAATTGGAAGACGCCAGTATGGCAAAAACTCTGGGAATCCGTTGGCATGCGACATCGGACAGTTTCCTCTTCCTGCCGATGGATATTTCTCTCCAAACAACCTACACCAAACGAGAGGTTTTATCCCAGATAGCCAAACTATTTGACCCAGCAGGATGGTTATCGCCATTTATTGTTCGGGCAAAAATGCTCATGCAAGAAATTTGGTTGCGGGAGTTAAGCTGGGACCAGCCTCTTCCGACTGATCTTGTCACAAGGTGGCGTAATTTTCTTGAAGGGTATCAGACTTTGAAAGAAGTTCGCATCCCAAGATGGGTAAGATTTCATCCAGCAGCAAAACTGCAGTACCACGGGTTTTGCGATGCGTCGCAGAGCGCCTATGGTGCTGCCATCTTTGTTCGCGTCGAAACGACTGATGGCTGCTTCACCCACTTGCTTTTGTCCAAAACCCGAGTTGCTCCAGTAAAGTCCCTTTCCATACCGCGATTAGAGCTGTGCGGTGCGGTGCTTCTCTCCGAAATGCCTCCTACTCAGTATGATACGTATTATTGGACAGACTCCACGATAGTGCTGGCATGGCTAAGCAAGCCAGCATGCACTTGGACTACATTCGTTGCCAACAAAGTCGCGAAAGTTGATCAGCTCACCAACAGAGAACAGTGGTTTCATGTGAAATCGGAAGATAACCCGGCTGATCTGGCAAGCAGGGGCGTCTCAGTCCATGAGCTCAAGGACAGCAACCTCTGGTGGCATGGGCCTGAGTGGCTGCGTCACAACCAGGAGCAGTGGCCACTCAATTCGTCGGTCCCGCTCGAAACCGAGCTCGAACAGCGCCCAATAAGGTGTAACGTCGCCACAGCGCCCCCGAAAAATGACATTCTGGAGCGTTTTTCAGCATTCGAGAGGGCTTTACGCGTTCTCGCTTACGTATTCCGGTTTGCAAGAATGTGTCGCAAGCAAAACGTTAACATAAAGGCAGAACTCACTGCCGCAGAGTTGTCTGATGTCCAAGAGAGGCTGATTGTGCTCACCCAACTCAATGAGTATCCAATAGAATGCAAGGCCTTAGGCAAAAAGCAACATATTCCAGTCTCCAGCACGATCTCCAATCTAAACCCCTTTATCGACAGCCACGGTGTCTTAAGAGCCAGCGGCCGTCTACGAGCATCTGAGATGCTAAGCTATGATGAGAAACATCCAATCATCATTCCGGCAAGGTGCACTTTTGCCAAACTTTTGGCCCTCTTTACCCATCGCATATCCTTGCACGGGGGTAATCAATTGATGATCCGACTGATTCGCTCCAAGTATTGGATACCTAAGCTGAGAAATCTTGTAAGAGACACCATTCATTCCTGTCGAGTGTGCACCATCCACAGACAAAAGCTGCAAACTCAGCTGATGGGAGACTTGCCCTGCGCAAGATCTACCTTTTCCAGGGCCTTTACCCACACGGGCGTTGACTTTGCGGGACCATTTGACATAAAAAACTATCTCGGTCGGGGGTGTAAGATAACTAAGGGGTATGTCTGCGTTTTTGTGTGTTTTAGTACCCGAGCCATCCATCTAGAAGCTACATCAGACTTGACCACTGAGAAGTTTCTGGCAGCCTTCTCGCGTTTCTCCGCACGACGTGGCTGTCCGCACCACATATACTCTGACAACGGGAAAACGTTTGTCGGAGCCTCCACGTCCCTATCCAAGGATTTCATTGAAGCTACGAGGTCTTTGATCCTGTCCAAGTACAGTTTTCAAAATGTGACCTGGCACATCAACCCTCCTGGCGCGCCTCATATGGAAGGGCTATGGGAGGCCGGTGTCAAAATCTTTAAGACACACTTCTACAAGCAAACAGCTGGCGGGAAGTACACCTTTGAAGAGTTAGCTACCCTCCTATCGAAAATTGAGGCCTGTTTAAACTCGAGGCCTATTTCTCCAATGTCCGAAGACCCCACAGACCTCGTAGCTTTTAGCCCCGAACACTTTCTAGTCGGCGGGCCACTCCTTTCCGTGACTGAGCCCGAGATTAAAGAAAACCCGATTTCCATTTTAAACCGATGGCAGCGGCTAAAGGCCCTGCATCAGCAATTTTGCTTACGTTGGAAAGAAGAGTACCTAAAGGAGCTCCATAAAAGGACCAAATGGCAATTTCCAACGCGAGACATTCAGACGGGGGACATGGTGGTGCTAAAAGAGGAGAATTTACCACCAAATGAATGGCGGCTTGGGCGGATCCAACTGGTGTGCCCAGGCGCGGATGGCAAGACCCGAGTGGCAGATGTTCTTACCGCACGTGGCATTATCCGACGACCAATCGCAAAGATGATCCGCCTTCCGATGGAGGCCTCCAGCTCCGAGTGATTCTGCCTTTTCCTTTTTTTCTTGAGTTAGCGACTAACAGCCAATCCTACTAGTCCTAAACTCATGTCATCCTGTGTCGTCAGTCCTCATACATGTCACGATCATTCGCATCATCCATAACCCCTAACCTTTGTTTACTCGCTTCCACAGATTGTTCACGATGGCGCCAACCACAATCCAGCACGCTCGGCCACGCGCAACCAACGGGTACAGGTGCCGAGTTTGCCGAGGGGTGCACGCGCTGAGGAAATGCCAACGTTTCCTTCGGCTCCCGGCGGTGAAGCGGCTCCGCGCAGTCCTCATTAATCAGTACTGTGCGAACTGCCTTGCTCACGAGCATTCAGGTCAATCCTGTCGCAGTAATGCCAAGTGCCACGTCTGCAGTGGAAATCACCACACCCTTTTGCACTTCCAAGAGTCCACATCGCCACGCTCGTCACGACCCCAAGACCGACGGCAGCAGACAAGAGCGTCGTCGACGACGTCGTTGCGCTCATCGTCACCAAAGGAGACCTCCCCGACCCGAAGCCCTGTTACGGGCCCATCGTGCGCCGCTATCCTGCAGCGCACGAGTGTGAGCATCTTGCCAACGGCATCCATTTTGGTGGGGTCTGAGGAGAAACGGTTTGACGTCCGAGCTTTGGTGGATCCTTGCTGCCCCGTGAGTCGCATTCACGTTTCTTTGACAAAGGCCCTCAACCTTTCCGTCACCCGCGTGGGCGATGAGCGGGTGTGCACCACCGAAATCCGCTCAAAGTCGTCAAAGATGACCCGACAGCTGATAATGCTGGTTGATGACCAGATGCAGACCCGAACTCCGGCCAAGCCCCTGGATCCGAAGGTCCGGGATGCCTTTCCAAACATCACTCTGTCTGATGACAGATGGTTCCACCCTTCCTTGGTGTCGGCCGTCTTGGGAGCTGACGTATATGCGGAATTAATTCTGCCGGGTATCCTCCCGAGTCAGAACGGACTGCCCATGGCGCAAAACTCAGCCTTGGGGTGGCTCCTTTCAGGCACTTGCTCCCTTTCGTGACCTGCCACTCTCCCCATTGCGAGGGGGGGAGAATGTTCATGTCGAACAAGAAGTTAGCTGGTTCGAAGATAGCTGGTTCGGCATCACTGGCAACCGAATCGGTGGCCTCTAGACTAAGCTTACGTTATATTACGAAGTCATTACGAAATAAAAGGTGAAACGGATCACAAGTGAAAACGAAGCTCGTCACAACCTTTTTATTTTTTTTTTTTAAAAAATTTTTTTTTTTTTTTTTTTTTACCCCCCCCCCAATTTTATTTTTTATATTTTTTTTTTTTTTTTTTTCTCCCTTTTTTATTTTTTTTAATTTTTTTTTTTTTTTTTTTTTAAATAAATAATTTTTTTTTTCTTTTTTTTAATTTTTTTTTTTTTTAATTTTTCTTTTTTTTGTCTTTTAAAAGTATTTTTTTCTGACTATAATAGACTAAAAATTTTCCTGTAATATCAAATCTTGGCTCTCTGCCGCTCCTAAAACGATTGATACTTGCTTCATTGGCACAAGATTGATCTAACTATTACTTTTTTCCCCGGACCTTTACCTTTATTTTCCTATCTCGCGTCTATCTTATCGCGAATCGTGCCGTACGATACGGGCGGGGCCCTCGGTCGGTTGGGCGGGTAAGTGGGCCGTGGGACTCCGCGCGAAAAAAAAGAACTAATACCATTTTATTGACGATCAACATAAATGCGACATATATGTTGGGTATATATCAACTATTAATTTCTTGTATTTTACGAAATCAACTACTAAATATATATATAAAATACATTTTGTTTAAGCCGAAGTTTTAATACCCTTGCAGACTTTGCCGAAATTGCTAAAAGTGAAAAAGTAGCGAACGGAATAAGGTATACATAAGTAAACTAGATTTGCATCGTTTCAAGTCAATTGCTTTTATACTGCAAAAATGTCATATACAAATAGAAAAAAAGGGATACTTTCGCAGCCTTTAAAAATTTTTCCTATCTCCTTTAAGATATAGACTACCGAGCGGCAAGCGCTTTTGCCCTAATTAAGATATGCGTAAATAAATAAGAATTGGAAAAATTTATGTTAGTAGCTTACACACTGCGCGAAATATTCTGATAATCGTCAAATTTGGACCGATTTCACCCTATTGTTCCTATGGGAGCTATATGATATAGACGTCCGATCGGCACGCGCTTTCACCTTGATCAATGTATGCATAAAAAAATACGATTTGGAAAGATTCATGTCAATAGCTTTTATACTGCGCGAAATATCCTAAAAATCATTAAATTTTAACCGATTTTACCCTATGGGAGCTATAGAATATACCCTTTTACCCTGATCAAGGTACGCATAAAAAATTAAGATTTGGAAAGATTTATGTCAATAGCTTTTATACTGCGCGAAATATCTTCCAATCTTGCTAGTTATATCCGATTGTTCCTATGGGAGCTATAGGATATAGACATCCGATCGGGGCGGTTTTCAAACTTGATCTGCGTACACTTGTTTTAGGATGACTGTGAAAGTTTCAGATCGCTAGCTTTTAAACTGAGCTCGCAAACTGTATTGAAACAGACGGACAGATGGACGGACGGACAGACGGACATGGCTATATCGACTCCCCTATTGATCCTGATCAAGAATATATATACTTTATAGGGTCGGAAACGTCTCCTTCACTGCGTTACAAACTTCTGACCAAAATTATAATACCCTCTGCAAGGGTATAAAAATTAAGTTTTCTGTAATTATACATAAAAATAATCAAAATAAAATCTAAAGCGCTAGACAGACCTTAGCTTAGTTAGCGATTGTGGGCGTTAGAGTGGGCGTGGCATGGAAAACAAAGGAAACTAAATCTAAAACCCCAACCCTCGAAATATTATAGCTTCCGAGATCACAGCGTTTATAAAAAAAAGTACAATCATGATGGTCAAAAATGAGACAATTCCTTCAGGTTTGAAATGCATGGCGCATATACAACGCTTTTATGAGAATCGAGGAGGACGGCAAATGTACGATAGAAAAGCATAATCAACAGCGAACCCAGTTGTGGTGATACTCCAAACTTTCAATCAAATATTAAAAAATAATATAAATGAATAAATATGTTTAATTATATAGAAGAACTAATACCATTTTATTGACGATCAACATAAATGCGACATATATGTGGGATATATATCAACTATTAATTTCTTGTAATTATATGAAATCAAATACTAAATATATATATGAAATACATTTTGTGTAATTGTATAAAAAAAATTAAGTTTTCTGTAATTATACATAAAAATAATCAAAATAAAATCTAAAGCGCTAGACAGACCTTAGCTTAGTTAGCGATTGTGGGCGTTAGAGTGGGTGAGTGAAAACAAAGGAAACTAAATCTAAAACCCCAACCCTCGAAATATTATAGCTTCCGAGATCACAGCGTTTATAAAAAAAAGTACAATCATGATGGTCAAAAATGAGACAATTCCTTCAGGTTTAAAATGCATGGCGCATAAATAAAGCTTTTATGAGAATCGAGGAGGACAGCGCTGTAGTATCAAAACAAAATGTAAGAATGAGACAATTCCTTCAGGTTTAAAGTTTTTGGCGTCATAATAAAGCCTTTAAACGTACAAGTTAACAAGTCAACATAAACCAGCCGCTGACTTTTGTTGTTATTTAGCTTCGGCCGAAACTGCTGATCCAGCATTTAACCCGGATGCTCGTGCACAGACGGCAAGCACTGCATATTTGCGTGGCCGCTGTGAGTCTTTTGTTAGCTTTAAGTTTCTTTTCAATTCAGTTTATATCAAAGCCTTGAATAAAGAGCACCAGCTCTGATAATATTTAACTCCGGCTACCGCCGTTAAAGATCTTGTTATTTCACACTGAATGAGTCTCTAGGCCAGCAGGTAAAGAAGGGCAGTCACCCTTCCACCCTATTCTTCCTAATTTATCGACGGATGACAACAGCCAACCGACTACCTTCACGGAGACGGCTGCGAGGGAACCTCTACGGAGTAAAATACTTATTGGCGCCCAGCTCGCGGAAAACCCACCCGCATAAAAAGTCGATTTAGCGTCGCTTGTGAACAGTTGTGTTTACCTTTGTGCTCTGAGTTTTTGTATTTTTTCAGTGATTTTGTGCGAGTGTTTTGTGTTAATTTATTTACAAAGCTTAACTTAATACATATCTGTGTTAGAAATTTTAAATAGATCTCCCAGTAAACGGGTATGTGTTTATAATTGTTTTAACATTTCTATTAGATTTGTTTAATCTTGTAGCTTTGTTAGTGTAATTTACGCTCTCTATACTTGCTAGAACTCTTTTACTCCCTCTCAATCTCTCCCGCTCTATTTTATAACTGTAATTTACTCTCTATGAACTTCTGGTAGACTTGTTCGTTTATTTCTCTAACTCTCTCTCTCTCTCTCTCTCTCTTGCATGCTTTACATTGCATTTGTTTATTGATTAAAGTTGTTGTGTTGCACAAGCCACGCTCAGTCGATATAAGATTTATTCTCTCGTGCTCTCTTTATTCGACTTAATTTCGTGATCTCGCGCTCTTACTTTTTTCGTGTTTTGTGGTTTTTGACAATTTGATTTGATCCCAGTGCCAAATTTACTTTGAGGTATTTTTCATATTCTTATTTTTTTATTTTGCTTTAAACTTACAATGGCTCTTGTCTGTTCTAAGAAAAATTGTACTCTTGCGTCTTCAACTAAAGACCCTTTTATTTTTTGCTGGCTCTGCGATTCGATGATGCACGTTAAATGTGCAGGATTTACTGGCAGCGTCAAAGATTTCATTGATCTTAATTCTGGTCTCATGTGGTCATGTGGGTCCTGCAATGAAATGGTAGTTGAGATGAGGGGCTTTATGAAGCAGAATCGAATCAGCCTATTGAATATCTCAGGAGCTTTTAAACAACTCAATGAGGGGTACATTTCCGTCTGTGCCCAGTTTAATAATGAGTGGCCTAAACGTAAAAAAGCCAGTTAATATGATTGTGGAATCCACCCCAAATCCGAACTTGGTAGCAGCAGTTTCTGTTGACACAGGGGTAAATGAACCAACTGTGCCTATGGATACAGCTAGTTCGGGTGGTGCCTCTGTTTCCAGAATAAAAGCTACAGAACTGGCTAAGTCAAAGAATTCGTTGCGACCGTACCTACAGGTACAGTAGACACCGTCCCTGGTTCTCAGCCCAGTGTGGTTCAGACTGCTGGTGGGGGCCGTAAGAAACTTTCAGTTGTTCCACAAAGGAAGCAATTATTTGTTTCTAGATTCACCCCCGATACCACATCTGAGGATGTTTTGGAATTTATACGTGAAAAATTCCCATCCGAGGATATTGCAGTTGAACAATTTCGATTTTCTTACGCTCGTAGGATATCGTAATTTAAAATATTTGCTCCGCCTGATGTGTTTAATGTGTTACTTTCTGAAAGTTTTTGGCTTAATGATGATTTAGTAATTAAAGAATGTGTTCCAAATAAACCGAGAACAAATAACAGGCCTTCCACTGTGCCAAAAAACTAAAAAGTTTATTCATGGCGTATCAAAATGTTAGGGGACTAAATATGAAGCTACACAAGCTTTATGCTGACTCCTCTGCGTTCACCGAAGTTATTTTGGATTTTACGGAAACATGGGTAAAACCAGAGATATCTGACTCTGAAGTTCTGTCAAATAACTTTAATACTTATAGGACCGATCGCCCCTCACGTAGGGGGGCGGTGTGCTAATCTTTATCTATTTTTGTTACATGTTCTTTTATTCCACCTGGCTCTGATCTAGTAATTTATGAGCACCATCTGTCCGCAATAAAATCCGTACTATCCCTTCTTTCTAACAGAGACCTTTTGATTGTTTTGGGTGACTGACTCACTTGTCGCTATACCTTTATCCGCCCATGATTTTGTAGATGGCCTTTTAGAATTATTGTTACAGCAAGTAAGCTTTGTAACAAATTCTTTAAATAGACAATTAGATCTTGTGTTTGTTTTAGACCCGTCCGAGGTCACGGTATGTAGAATTGACGCTCTTGTTGTACCTAAAGACCGATATCATCCAACAATGGAATTGACAATTTGCCTCCCCTGCTCTGATACCCTCTCTCCTTTAGTGCCCCCAACTAAAATGAGATGTTTTCGTAAATGTGACTATAATAAACTTAACGATATGATTTCTCATT